TTGATTAAAAAGCAGTTTGCCTCTTCAATGGTAACATTATGATTGTGCATTTTTTGAAAACTACATGTGATGTCATACTAGAGAGATAATGGAGTAGAAAAGGAATCCCACTAAAATAATTTCATAACAGAAAAACAGAGCTAGACTAGTTTCATCCAGGGGGTTGGGGGACCCTGAAGCATTGACAACATATGCCAACCAGAATACACAGACCCAATTTGTTATTTACAATCCAATATACTCTACAATGTCTTACAACGTATAGGTCTTAAGTGTTCAACACATGGCGATGAGTAACATATCCCATGGTGAATTATAGAAGTGAACAGACAGTCCTAGCAGCGTAGTAACAAAGTGAACGTCCTAATTGTTTTAATCAAATCTGGAGCCCTACTATTTTGGGCTCTGTGCATATTAATGTGGCTGTCTAGGGTTGTGGGGCTGGGGAAGGGTAATTACACAGAGCAACAATGATTCCCTAACCACTCTTCTGTTTCCTAACCTTCTGTCTTTCTATGTTCACAATTCAAGGCCGCTGGGATGGATTCTGTTTTCCTATTTTTCCAGAGGTCATTGTGTCAGTGTCAATTATGTTTTTTGACCCTTGCAACTTCTTAATTAAATGTTTTTTTTCTTAGACACTCAAGTTGCTGATGATGATTTAAGATGGTTATGAATAGGCCAACAATACCATATAAATCATGCAATTACAGCCATGCCTTAATAGATACACTATGCATCTATTTAATTAGTGTTATCATATTGGCTAAACAACACTATAGTCATAATATAGCTGCAGCTAGTCTGACCAAATGTTGACTTCCAGTAGGTCAGTGTCTGGGTCACTGCCTCCCTCACCTCACACGATGCAAGGGTTAACACTTCAGATTGACATATCATCAGCATCAGGGTGATATCCCAGTCCATAGTATCTGTTAGTCAGACTGTGTATTGGTGATGTAAAAACTGTCGCTGTATTCACTCCAGAGGTTCATCATGACATGATCAACTGAGAAGAGGCAATGGCGAGTCCGGTTGAATCTCTATTTACTTTGCAAGGGAAGAAACATGGCTTTATCAGCCTGAGTATGTACAGATGTAATCAGGGGTCAGGTGGCTAGGTCATCCTAGGCACTGGACATTGTTATTGACCCCACCTTTCCATGGGAAAGAAACTCCAAAAGAAAGATTGTGACATAATGAAGCTGCTCGCCCTCTCCTCATCTTATTTACCTTATCCTGTTTGTTTGCTTTTGTTGATTTGTTTACTAGATGCTCACTGATGCATGAAATGAGGTAATAATAAACAAATGTGCCTTGTTACTGTTATCTCCATACACCCCTTATCTCTACTATAGGATTCTTCATGTTAGCCTACATTAGGATACATTGAATGGGTGCACACACATTTTGGAGTCATAATAGCTAACAACAAGGTAATTGAATCTGGTTGAGTTGGGCTCCTCCTTTGTTGTGAAATGACTCTGTTTTTACATCAATGTGTGTGTTATCGCTGCCACCGAAGAGTCACAAATCCTCTTATGAAACAGAGAGAGCGGTGAGTGAATATGTGGGTATGGGAATGTAATGCTACTATTGAGCAGGCTGGAGATCAGACCACTCTTGTAAGGCTCTGCGCGTGGCTTCATTTCTTTAACATGAATTGAGCGTAGTGCACCAGGAGAGCACAGGTTGAATAGGCCTATACATGAATGTAAAGCCTGCGATTAACTTATTATTAATGTCTATTCAATGGAAAGGCGACATAAAATATTGCCTCAGTGTAAAACCTTGACAGACTCTATAAACCCAGGACAAGCCTTGGTTTGTGTCCAGTTATCGAGCGCCCTGCCCTTCCACCTCCCTTGTCTCGTAATTTGGCTCTCCATGTCTATCTTTTGTAAACTTGGAAGTTGGAACAAGATGTTTTCATTCTTTCGATTCAGTGTTTTCACTGGATTCCCAGGTGGGAGAAAAGCATCGCAGACAGAAGCGAAAAAGAAAAACAAAACCATGTTTCCAAAAAAATCGTAACCGTGCTGTTTGAAACCGATATGTTTTCACAGATATTAAAAGCAGTTTGTGTCCCTTTATACTTAACAGGGTAAAGATTTAGCAATTAGGGAGTAATCACGCTCATTATAGAGAGTAATCCATTTAAAACCTAACAGATGTCTGTTTCAGCAGAGAGAAGGTGGTGGTCCCACTCAGAGAATAGTGCTGTAATGTTGTTGAAATGCTCAGGTGCAAGGTTGAAGTGGGGAAGATTATTATTTATTTTTACTCTCTCCCCTAAGTGTCCACATGTTGACCGTTTTAATGGCTCACTTAATTGCAGTGGTCCCTACGTATCATTGTAAATTAAGGCTGGGGCAGCCGCCATGTTTTCGCTCTCTGAGACCCTTTTTAAAATGTTTTATATGTAACTTTTTTTATTGTCTTAACTTTTTGAAAAGTAGTAGTTGGTGGTTTTGATGGTTGTCCACATGACAGGGACAAGCACTAGAGACTTGCATTGTTAAGCATTACTCCTAGCCCTTCCACAGTCACAGTAGTAAAAATGTTTACAACTGACATCTGGAGAAGTTAACGTTGAGGCTTTTGCAGGGTTTAGGCCTATAGTCGTTGTAAACTACTAAACTATTCCAGTGTTGTAGTCCTTTTTATTAAGATAAAGACAGAAATCAATGCGTCAGATTCCTCAGGCTTTGTTTACATGTCACACGGTCATTTCATGGTTTGCAGGGATGGATGGCAGAGGCCTGTATGGACTCAATATGTCAATGCAGATAGGAAGCTAGTGCTTCTAGTCAGTATTTACATAACATTCTCAGGTGACTTGTAAAGAAAAGTGTATTAAATTTAACAATCAAATGTACTGAGAGTAGTATATGGAGACACAAAACCACAGGAGACCATCGTTCTCTGTAGTTGCTGAATGTGTGGTGTGTGTGTGTGTGTTTGTTTGTACTATACGTGCATGATGTGTTGATGTGTGGGGGAATGTTTGTACCATCCAATTAGAGAAAAGAAATCTGTCACTGCTTTTAATATTTTGGATTGAAAGGGTGGAGGTTTAGGTGGGCAGGGGGGAGAAGAGGGGTATCGGAGGGGCTGTGAATCCCTGTTGGAGCCGCCTGTTTTCCAGGTTTCCCCCCACTGCCAGGTGTTTGACATTGACTAGAGCTGGAGATGAATGTAGCTTATGGCAACCTATGGAATTGACCGACTCCTGGGAGTCCCAGCTTCCTGCAGTGAAAGTTTATATTTCCAAAGCCCATCAGTTGCACTGGGAATGTTCGAGAACATCCCATAGGCCAGCACTGATAGTGAGGCAAACCCCCCCCCCCCCCCCCCCCCACACTCCCTTTCACACACACACACACACTCCTAGAAAGAAGGCTCACTCATCGCTAACAAAATGTGTTTCAATATGTTGCCACTGAGCACTGTGTTCCCTGTACTGCTAATGGAAATGAACCCCATCAATTATTTACATGGATTTGCTTTGTTTCTCCCTCATGTTTGTGCCTTTTTAGCCCGGTTACAAGGTAACGATACCATCTCTGTGGTTCTCTACACCAGGATGCACTCAAAATAACAACGACGAGTCGCCGATGTACTGCTCTACTGTGTTTGTGGGGGGGGCTATTTGTGGGAAGATGGTGTGAGCAAGAGAAGAAAGAAATCCTGAGCTAGACTATATTTTCTCTCATCTCATACCACACACACCAACCTCCCCCCTCCTCCCCTCCCTCCCTGCTGCCGGACCATCGCGGCAGGATTCCTTTGTCCGAGGTGTTCATCTGGAACAACTTTGCCACACTTGTTTTCATGTTCTTTTAGATTACAGGGCAGCCGAGCCGGCCCTGGCTTTGAAGCGGTTCTCTCTCTCCCTTTGTCTCTGTGCAATGCACTCTGGTAATTAACTTTGTCCTTCTTTTATTTGTTCCAGTCACTCGCAGTCCACTCTTCTGAGCATCTTCTCCCTGGAGTACCAGGTTAGAATTTTTCTTCCTTTGTGATCCCTGACAGGTGCCTAATTGAATGATGAATGTCCTTTTATTTCTTTGTAATTGAACTGCCAGCTCTCTGATTGGTTTGGAGGATGCCCACTCCCTCCCTCTCCTCTCTTTCACGTGGAGGGCCCTGCTTGCCTGAGTCTCGGTGGATGTCTGCCAAGCCTTCCCATCCATCTGTCTAATAACATCTAGCTGCTGCTTATTTGGTGGACCTGTAATAAATTATGCTAAACCATTATTATTCTGACAATAATCATTTCCCCGTGTAGTGCGGCTGCGTGTGCTAAATGTTTGCTGACTCACACTGTCGCTGCCGCTTTCCACGACTGACAGCGGATGATGATAAATGACCATTGCTGCGAGTGGCAGAAGGCAGCACAGGCAGAAAATGGAGTCATTTATCATCCCCTTGACAGGTGTCAGTCATGCCGCCCGTCTCCACGGAATTACATTTTTTTTTGTGTAGTAGTTTTTAAATAAGTCGTTTTTTAAGCAATGTTCTTTCTCTCCTATCCCCCTGGTTAAGATGGGTTAAAATTGAATTGCATGATGGAAATGCGTTACGTTGGGGTGGCAGGCGGCGGAATAGGTCGCTGTTTGATCGAGGCGGAAAATGAATACAAGGTTTTGAGTAGGGGGTTGAACAAGGTTGCCGTGACTCGCTGTGAGACCCTGGGCAAACTTATTGAGATTCAATTACTATGACCCCTCTCACAGCCTGTTCATACACAATACATTAGTACCCCCAAGGCGGAGTGATTCTGTGCTTTTCATTCAGGGGAAAGAAAAGCTTTATGTTTTTTGTCTTTGTACTGCATTGCATGGATAGCAAGTTTACCATATGGATATCAGCTGTAGCATGTGTATAATGTCTTTCTTGCAAGCGTATTTATTTATATTTTACTATTAATAATTGCACCATTACAATATGTTGTATTTTGTGTGAAAATTAAATGCGTTTAATTTGAGTAACACTATATGTACTCTTTGTTCCAGAAAAGGACAAAAAGAACCATATCAAGGCATCATGCCCCGGATAGCATTGAAAGCTACTACCAAAGGTACGGTCCTGCCTCTCTTTCTCCCCCCCCCCCCCACCCCACCGCACCCCTCAGGAAGGGAATCATTCACGTTGTGCGATAGGAAGTGGACAGGGCTGAGAGTAGGTGGGCCTCCATGACAGATATAATCTCCTCAAAACAAATCACCACCTTTAGGATTCATTCCAGACCTCCACATGCACCTGCTGAAAAGAGAAAACAGCAGTTGGACATTTGGCTTACACAGGCTTATGATGGGCTGATTATCCCTAATTCTGTTAAATGTTAAACTAATAAATACGTTTCTTTTGGGGGGGGGGTTTACAGGCTAAAGGGGGATTCTGAGAAAGAGTCTTTGCGTATCACAATCAGCCTTTTTTCTAGCTTATTAAGCCATTGTTCTGTTGGAAACGAGGCCGGGATAATGCACTTCTAATCCACTTATATAACAACAAACCTCAGAGATGATCTGGTAAAGATCTGAGGGAGCTTTGGTGGTTTCAGTTGGCGATGGGAAAAAGCATTTTTGGGCGGGCAAAGCGAGGGGAGTTAACTAACTAACTATCATGCTTGTCTGGCTTAAAGGAAGTCTGAGTCTTCTAAGCACTGCCGTTTTAACCACAGCAAGCCTGCCATATGCCACTGAGGCCGGAGTCATCAGAGACTTTAACATGTCTTGGCTGGCCTGGTCTCCTCCCCTCTCCCCTTCTGTCTGCCTTTGTGGGCTGTTCTTTTTTTCACCACTGTCTGTTTTTTCTTTGTTATAATGAAGGTACCTGAGCGAAGCCAAGGCACGTCCCTCTGTCCCTGTACTGTTGGAGCTGGCCAATGAGGTAATGTCATATAACCTCTATTTCTCTACCCTTTATGCTCTACTCTTTTATTTTCCATTTGAAGTGCGCACAAGCAAATCTTGGTACAAACATAATTATCCTCTGAATACCCCTGAATGCGTTTCAAATAATCGTTTTTCCTGTCTGTTAGCGATTATGAAAATTGGACAAATGGTCCGGTCTATTAACCAATTATTTAATGTAATTAGTATTTATCCCCTTTAACGCAGATGTGAAAATAGTTTGTGCTTTATTATGTCATTTTTATAATTGACATTCAAAACTGCCACAGTTGCTTCAAACTGCAGACAGGTGAGGTGCAGGTAGGTCACTGACTGGTTCACTCTTCAATTCCTAACAATATTGTTTTAATCAGGCAGCACACTTTCCAATCACACCAAAGAAAGAAAGATGCAACTCTACATAAGCCTACATGTTTGGGGTTTGGAATAATACGAATTTTCATACAACTCAAAATATTTAATGCTAATTGAACATGTACATGTTAGGTTGAAAGTCCGAGTATGTATTGTGTTTAGGGCTATCATAGGTTACTATGAGGGATTTATTCACTTCAGAAATGGTGTGTGAAAGCGCTGGGTGTTTGTATTAAAAACGGTCTTGGTGCTGTGAGTATTGTTACACACAGCCAAGCTCCAACATATCACATAAGAATGAATGTGCTCTGCGCTAGCTGGTGTCTCCTGTGCATTGCAGCCAGTCAGTGAAAAGGTGTTTGGTACAGTAGCCGTAAGATGCCATGCTATTAGGGTAGCTCCTCTCACATCCGCCACATCCTCAGCACCATGGGGAAAATGGAGCCACGGGCTCAATGAAACAAAACGCCTGGAATGTTTACCCAGATAATAGCAGAGATGAGGTTTTAATATCCCCTTCCAATAATTATCATCTTTGTTCACATGGGTTGGTTCAGCCATAGGTATCTAGGTAGCTCAAAAAGCATCAACATTGTTCCTCAGTTCATGACTGTTGCAATTTCAAAGCATATTTGTCTCTCCTCTTAAACCTTCTTTTAAATGGCAATCACATTTTTTTTTTTGCAGATGCTTCAAACCAAGCAATGAGATTCCATGCTTCCTTTTCTAAATCTGAATAGTTCACATGCATCAGTGGCACCTCAAAGCTAACTGTCATTATTCATTCTCCATTTAATAGACATAATTTTTTTCAAAGGATTAAACTCAGCTCGGAGATAACTGTCTATGAACCATTTAACTGTCATTTTAATACGCTACTTAACATTTAAACCAAGCACTCATGCTCTCGCAGACAGCTAATTGATCTAGTCTCAGCCCTTTATGTGACAATATACAGTATCTCCAACAGGGGGAAATAGTTTTCATCAATGTTAATAATCTTTTTTCCCCTGAAATATTCTGCTTATAGGTTTTTATATAAAAGTAGTTGTTTTTCTAACCTTTTTTATGGTGCTTCGTGAAGGTCAATTAAGCACATATGCTTAATTGTAAAGCTACAGGCATTAGACTGCATTAGACTGTCTGTGAGCCTGACACCTTTTAGCATCAGGGGCTCAAACTGAAGCTGGAGAGTTTCTATTTTTTACGGTAATTATTTTCAGCAGGCATTCAAGGGCCTGTGAATCTTAGTCACATGTTAAACTCATGAAGTGCTGCGATGTGATTTGAGAAGCTAGGAGATGGACTGATGATTAATATGAAAATTAGGGAGATGCAAGTACCTGAACTAATCAGGTGGTCCTTATGCAGACTGGGCCAGCGTGAGTAATGTCGCCATTTCTCATGTGTCAGAGCTGATGTGGGTTACTCGGGATGGGATGCTCTCTCGTTATCTCAGGGTTTATGTGAATAGAAGAGGGGGATAAGTATTGGATGAGGGGGAGAGATGGAGGAGAGAGAGAGCCCTGTAGGCTACACAGACGAAGATGCTGTCTGAGCTCCCTCCCTAATGAAGATGAAGATTGTCTCCTAACCTCTGTAATAATTATAGACATGTTTGGTCTTTAGCTAGCTGCCTTTTGTATGCAGAATTATGGAGATAGTTAACAAATTCTACCGTTGTCTTAAAGTCTTTGTGCAGAGTGGAGAGCTCTGTCTCTGCTTCCAGCACCAGCAGGAAGGATCACAGAGGAGATGAAACACTACAATCTCTATACAAGCTAAGGGCAAATTCACTTTGGGGCCCAATTATGCTAACAAGAGAAAAATGTTCCCCGGCTGTTAGAACAGTCGGTTTCTTAAAGTCGCTGGAAATGGCACACATTTTACTAGCCACGCTTGTGTATTACTGAGGCAATGGCGTTATTAGGTAGTTTGTCATTTCGTCTTTTCCATTTTTATATTGTGCTATATTAACTGTCCAAATTGCATGTTTTTGTGTTATTTTCCAAACGGTTTGTTACATTTAGGGAGCTAGCAATTTTGTTTCCAACGGAAGAAATAAGAAAATACAACTTTTGTTGCTCAAATCGTTGCTCTTCAGGGTTCTTGTTTATAGATGTCTTGTTTTTAGCCTCCACCAGAGATAAGCAATTGGGGTACCTATCATTATTTCTAACCTGTCTTGGTACTCAGAGCCATACAGAATATGGTGCTACAGTGCAGAATGAGTAGAGAAATGAAATGGAGTGGGCTGGTGGCTGGGAGGTTGGATACCAGATACCTTGTTGTCAGGGCCAGATTCACACTGGTAATCAGGCCCCCAAATCAGTCATTAGAGTTCCTCTACCTGTCAGGCTTCCCCTTGATCTCCATCCTACTGCAGCCCTCTCACTTCTCAAGGTGTCTTCCCTTCCTTCCCTTCAAAGACTGGCTCTGCCATAGGTCCTCCACTCTTCCTCTTCCAGCGCCTGTGATATTAGGCATTGTACTGTAGTTACCAGCTCCAGTCCCTCTGGTGTGTCCTGTCCTGTGTTTCTGCCTTAGTAATCTTCATATGATTAAAGCTCTGACTGGGTCTCAAGGTTGGATGGGCTAATTGTTGCACTTTTCATTTCAGATGATGTGACTTGCACCTTCCTTCCACGTCTCTCTTGATAGAAGTGAAGGCATTTAAAGCTGGTAGCTTGGCTATATTAAGAGCCCATTTGTTCCAGAAGGAAACATTAGTGCGAAGGAAGGCTCCCAAAAACCAAATGATGTTAGGCCTGCTGTCGAAAGTTGGGTCAAGGTTGTAAAACAGCACAATGTAGGCCTACTGTAATTTGGCTCCATTAGAAATGTCATTATGTCTGTGACGTCAACCCAACACGGACAGCCAATGTTTTTCCAATGGAGTCATTCTTAGTTCTTAAAAAAACTCTCACACATCCAAATGATCCAAAATTGTGGGAATGTCCTTGAATGTCTCACAATTGTGCCATTCTCTATGGAGGGAGAAAAGCAAAGTCCCCTCCCCTGCTCTGTTTTTATTTGAACTATCTAGATCCCTTAACCACATAATACTCACCCACTCTCCCCCCTTGTTGTTTCAACCCCTTCACAGGTGGACCTCTCCCCAGCGCTCATGGCTCGCGTCATTGTGGACAGGTTCCTTCAGGATCAGGAGGGTGGTGTGTGTGAGTAGAGTCTTTCTCTCTCTCTGGTTCTCTCTCTCTGGTTCACTCTCTCTGGTTCACTCTCTCTGGTTCTCTCTCTCTGGTTCACTCTCTCTGGTTCACTCTCTCTGGTTCACTCTCTCTGGTTCTCTCTCTCTGGTTCACTCTCTCTGGTTCTTTCATTGGTTCTCTCCGTCTTAATTCCCTTCCTAAGGGAAGCTGTAGCAACAGTGCTGCTGCTGATGTTGTTCAGCCCACGCAGTCTTAATGAGAGACAGGCCACTACTACTACCTGGGGCAGATGACTGACAATTAAGCACTCGGAAGACCACCCACCACTTAACTGCTGTTTAGATCAATGCTAGTTCATTTCATCAGTGTTATTTATAACCCCCTCTGATCTCCCCCTCCTACTCCCCCCACCCACCCTCCCCTCTTTCTTCCTCCCTCCATCCCAATTGGGCTCCACTAAGGAAATGGAATTGAGGGGAAAGTGTGGCAGAAAAAGCAAACGGTTGCTGCATTGCGCTGATGGACACATGAGGGGAGAATGAAAATCCAGACACATTTTTTCTTGAAGGTGTCCCAAAAATAGACAGTTTGAAAAACAGTCCTAGTGCATCGTGGTTAGTCTGTTTTCTTTCATGGCTTGACATTACTAGAGTCATGGAATGTGTATAGATATTGTAGATTTAAAAAAATATATATAATGGCATTCCTATTTAAAACCTTAATATTCATTAAATATTCAACCCCTTTAAACCTTTGATAATCTTGAATACTTCAAGAAAATATACTATTTCTGAAGTGTGTATATATATACCAAATAAACAAATATTCTATGAAAAGTTGCTCAAATCATCACCCCGATATACACTAACGGTCAAAAGTGTGCAAAGCTGTCATCAAGGCAAAGGGTGGCTATTTGAAGAATCTCAAATATAAAATATATTTTGATTTGTGTAACACTTTTTTGCTTACAACATGATTCCATATGTATTATTTCATAGTTTTGATGTCTTCACTATTATTCTACAATGTAGAAAATAGTAAAAAAATTAAGAAAAACCCTTGAATGAGTAGGTGTTCTAAAACTTTTGACTGGCAGTGTACATAATAGCAAACTGTGTGATTTATTTTTATTAGAACAGTCAATAATACTACTCCTTTGCCCATCCATACAGTCACAGTTGCCACATACCTTGTAAACCCACAATAACATGCTAATATTACAAAGAGCAACAGGATGGGGAACCAGGAGTTAATTTGCCCTGGGTGAAGAAAAAACATTTAGTTATTTTCCAAGTGTCAACTGGATGATTAAAACGGGCTGTTAAGTGAGCTCGGGGGACTTGCCTGTAAAAAGGTTTATGAGTAATATTCACTGCCATATTCAAAGTGAGCCGTGAACACCAGGGTAATTGCTCTCTGTCCATCTCTGCTCCACGAAGCGCAGCACATCAACCCAACCGGTCAGGCCTCTGTATATTTGTCTTGTTGCTTATTCTGAAGAGAGGATAGGGTAGAATATGGCTTTTGGTATTTCATAGTCCTTCACCACTTCACCCCCTGTGTAATGTTTACCTTTGCTGGCTGACAGTCTAGGTCTCTGGACTGCTCTCGGTTGCAGCATAAATTCTCCCCTTCATTGATGCAGTGGAAAACACGACCTGCTATGCAAAACATTCTGGAGGACATACTGTAGCCTGCTTGTTTGGCAGGTTTTTTTTTCTTCAGTATCTCTACTTTCTTGTATGGTTTGTTGGTATTTTTCAACCTTGAGACTTCACGTCGCCATTTGATTCTGTGATCCTTTACCTCACCTAATTCATTCAGATGAGTGTTCTGTGTTAATTTCCTTCTAATTCCTCTCATTAACTGTCTCTCCGTCTTCGTCTCTCTCTCTCTCTCTCTCTCTCTCTCTCTCTCTCTCTCTCTCCTCTCTCTCTCTCTCTCTCTCATCTCTCTCTCTCTCTCTCTCTCTCTCCTCTCTCTCTCTCTCTCTCTCTCTCTCTCTCTCTCTCTCTCTCTCTCTCTCTCTCTCTCTCTCTCCCTATGTCACTCATACACATCCCACATACACACACACACACACACAAAGATCCCACATCATTTCAATAGACACATCCTGGGAAGCGTGTGCCAGTGGGTGCTTTATGAGGGAATCACATGGTGTCAAAACACAGCGTCTTCGGTTTAATCAAGAAAGAGATTAAAGTGGATGTGTGTTATTTCAACTTCTCCACAGCACAGCCATTTGTCAAAGTCAAGTCTGTGATTGCTTTGGACCCACCGTTATCCACTGCCTGTCAAAATAGTAGTCGGAGTAGTGTGTAGAACAAGGCAGATGGAGGCATTCTCTCTCTGAGACGCTGCCTGGGAGACTCAACCTGCAGCCCACACAGAACCCAAACACTGGAACTAGGTGAGATTAGCTTCTTGAAGGCTGTACGGTAGGGGTGGCCATTTGAAATGATTTCTCTATTCAAAAAGTATCATGACATTTTTTAAAGATATCCGTATAGTCCAAATTCTATACTCACACAAGTAATGGGATATTGGAATATTCAAATAAGAGTGCCCATCCCTACTGTACAGAATTGATGTTGTAATCACACATGAAGTTGAAGGGAACCTTTGCTAGGATGGATATGCATTTATGATGTAGAAACAGACTTTCAATATACACGTATGTGCTTGCATACCTAGTAAGGTTTCTGTAATGCAATATGTAGTAGTAATGACAGCCAAATAATTACAAATATTTGAAAATGAAAAATGTGGATATTCTCAATCTCTTGACAATACAATGCTAAATTATGTACAGGCTGCACAAAATACATACATTCATGAATGCAACTATAGCCTGTCTTCAAGCACAACATAGCCAGGCTGTGTCATCCATACAGTTTTCCCATGCAGAGAGCTGGTTTCCCATGCAGCCAGCTAGCCAGCCTGTGTGAGGGTGACTTATAATTTGACACAGCCTCTCTCTCTCTCCATCGCCTCCTCTCAGTGGTGACCTGCCTGGCCTTTGGAATGAAGCGCTGCACACACAGTCTGGAACCTCCCTGTGTGTATATTAGACTTCTGTAATGTGTTTCCATTATGAAACAATGCTAGGATAATTGTATTTGCTGGCAATTAGCTTACAGGTTTGTTCAGGGCTATTGGCAGGCGTATCAATCATTTGCCCCCCCCCCCCCCCGCCGGACACACTGTGTGGTGTGTCGCAGGAGAGCGAGCAGTCTGCAAAGATCAATCGACTTCTATATAAGGGATATACCCCCAACTGGGTGAGCGACTCCTTTTCCTAGCACCATCCTTTTTTTATTCCCCTCTTTCCTTTGCATTTAAGAGACGCAGAAATGGGGCCTTTGGGACTGTGGAATATATGTACAATCACTATAGCCAGATCGATACAGACTTTTAAATTGTTTTCTGTTTTTCCTTGTTTTGTTTTGCTGGTGGTTTGTCTCCCCTCCCTCCCTCCCTCCTCCCTCCTCCTCCTCCTCCTCCTCCTCCTCCTCCTCCTCCACCTCCTCTTCCTGCTAAAGGATTAAAGGGAGCATCACTCAGGCGAGACGATAGCAAAGCTATTTGGTGGCGCATGTAAATAAATCAATAGATTCAAAGCAGTTTCGTCACGTATTGAATATGATATCAACATCCATAATGCTCCTCGTCTCATGAAGACAGACTGGCTAGAGGGGAGGGGCAGGTAGTACTGAAGCAACCTCTCCTTTATTCCTAGAGAGCCAACAGCACTATACAGAGAGGACAGTATTGCCATTCTAGGTCCACATAATCTACAATTGTTCTCAATAATATTCTTCATAATATCGGGATGATTTGTGTATTTATGTGGAATATATAAACCTACATCCATGCACACTAATCCATAATGTGATGAAGACTAGACATAGTGTTTGAAGTAAAACGTTTTGATTGGTCACCTCTTAGTTGACCTCATGACTTGAATGTATTGAGGCTTGCCAATGGATAATGATGATGATACTCTAAGCAGTCACTAACTAGGAGATTAGAGAGGGATACTGAGGGATCTCATCCCCATCTCATCATCCCTTCTCCCCCTTCATCCCTCTCCCCCTTCATCCCTCTCCCCCTTCATCCCTCTCCCCACTGACGTGAGTTGAAGTGCCTCTAGATTTAGATACACTTTTTTTGAGGAGGCAATTTTGCTAGCTATTTGACCTTTTCCATTTTCCCAAGGCCTTCCACCAGATTAAATTCCTGCTCTGTGTTTTCGAACTACGCAATTGGACCGCTACACAATTTATTGTCATGTTCGCTCACCAGAGAACCATGTAGGCAAGGTTATATGTCGCCTACGTTAGATGTTAACATTTCTGAAAATGTTACCAATGTCCATGGTTTTCAACATATTTCATGTTTCTTAGATTTAATTTGTTGATCACAAAATGGATGCTGCTTTAGACCCACTGTTATGACTTTCATGGTTTCTCCCCCATTTGTCACTAAGGGCTTCTCTCTCCCTCCTGTTTGCACAAGATATGACCAAGATTGGTGCTGGAGCAAGAATCGCACAACATCCATACAGTCATTTTGTTTTGAATAATGAGAGCCAGGGCACTTCATTAGCAAGGAAGAAGTAAGAAAAAGAGTAGGAGGTATAGGAGGAGGGGGGTGGTGGTTGTGGGCAAGGTAAGCAGGCGCGTGGCACCTCACTTGACAAGTATACTAATGACTTATTTTCATCAGAGGAACTGAAGTCAACCCCTGCTGCAGTCTGCAGTCTTATGGCCTGACCCAGGAAGAGCTCTGTATGGTAGAGCCGCCCCAGCCCAACCAACCACACGCACGCACGCTCTCATTTCACTGCTATCAGTGAAAATCAGGTGGAAGTAGATCAGTTCTGCACCAGCAACACCTTCTGGGACTCTGCTCCTCCCGCACTGACGATACCACCCAGCACCATAATACACATGGCAGGAGGAAAGGAAAAATAGAAGGGAAAAAAATGATCTCGCTCACTCTCTCTCTCTCGTCTTCTTTTTTTTTTTTTTTGCGGGAGGATACATTTAAAAGGAGTAAATTGGAAAATCAAATGAGGGCTTTAGGCAGCCGTGGAGATTTGCAGAGCTGTCCGCCAGTGTCTGAGGCTCATCCATCATGTCCCACAAGTAGTCAATTCCTCCAGTATCTGTAAATGTTTTCAGATATTAGCCAATTTATATGCTCCGAGATTCATCATGGAAAATCAGCTTTAACGGCGCGCATTATCAGGAGCCGTCTCTTTCCTGCTCCATGACGTTTGATGAACGAGCGTCCTTCCGCAGCTCAATGGCTTGTGCATGGGAACGATGGGTTTGGGTGGGGGGATATGCAGGGCTTGGTCCCCTATGAAAAAAGTGGGTTTTTTAATTAATAAACAAACTTGCCGAGGAGCTCATCAGTGTCGTGGGCAATAACGACCGCCATCCATTATTGTTTATAACGGTCCTCCCTCAACAAATGTTGCATTCTAATGAGCTTTCTCAACATTCTTTTCATTCGCATAATGACTTTTTCACCCTACTGGAAACAAGGGGGAGAGATGATACAAATTAAATGAGTAAGGAAAGAGAAATCAAGCAAGCTTACTAGTTACGTTCTTGTGGTTACAGTACCGAGCTACCTTCCTTGTAGCATTGAGCGTTTTGTTTTGTGCGTTGGAAGCTGTACTAAAAGGGATGTTGTGGTGTTTGTTTTTACGCTAGCTGTTTTCTTTAGCAAATCCCAATGGGAGGTGAAGCGTTTCCTTCTAATGTTCTCCTCCCCTCTCCTGCTCCTTAGATGTTGATGATATGATACCTCAGTCAGAATTTATGCCAACATGGGACAATTACAATAAAGTTGGTGTATATTTACAAGGTGTAAAGTCATGCTGCAGGCTTTGTTCTCTGCATGTGAGGCTGTAACGTAACGTGTGTTTGTAGTTTATTTGTTTGTGATGATGTAGTGTATATATTTATGTGTGTATGTCTGTGCATGTGTTTGTGTGTGTGTGTGGCCGTGCAGCTCATGGCGGCGTGGCTTGCAGTGCTGTGCGAGGCGGGGGTGTCTTTAATAAATGTATGCTGATATTCGAGGGAGGCTGCAGCAATGCGAGGGAGACAGGGATGCTGGGCCGGGCCATGTTGTTATTTACTGCCGTGGTTGCGCACGGCGCATGGCGGGCGAATCCCGGCCTGCAAATGGCATTAAGGCCGGCCTGTGATGAATGAGCATTAGGGTAAAGTCATTTTAAAGACAGCCTGATTTATTAACGGCCTGGTCTTCCATTTTCATCAGGTCAATGCTTGGCTTGAAACTCCACAATGTCAGCTCCAAGGTCACCCTCTTTATGGCTATTTTTAACCCCATATCTAAAGAAAAAAAACCGGATCACTTATCATGGCTACTCTAAAAAATATAGAATGAATAACAAGATGGAGGGAAAGGGAGCATGTTAGTGTATAGCTAAAGTGTATACGTGTTAGTGTCGTGTTATGTCAGAGACCAGAATGTGGTGATGGTCAACCTCCAATTATGAATGCTAGTAAGACAAGAGCTTTAATGGTGGCTGTTTGCCTTCGGGAAGGTTTATTACACACTACTGTTTTGCAGAAGCAGCGTCAAATCTATAAAACTACCATTAGGAGGGAGGAAAATCAATCAAAATGCCATTAAAGTGGAATAAGTTGCCAATATTGCTGATGTGGTTGCGGGTCCTTTGATTTTCCTTCAGATTATTAGGCACAGTCGAGTAGTGACTTTGTTAAGAGAAACGAGTGTTGTTGGGGAGTAATATGTCTCTCGGCTTCATAAAGTTTGCTGCCTCATATTTCCCGCTTTATTGATTATCCATTATCATTTGTCATGAGGTGTCCTAACTCAAGGGGAAAATATAACCCTCTTTCTTCATTGCCGGCGCTGCCTGCGCGGGAGCATGGTATGGATCTGCGTGTGAAGGTACCAATCTCTGAGAAAAATGAGCAGAGAAATAAAGCACAGCCCTGAGAGAGCGAGAGAGGGAGGGAAAGAGAGAGGGGAGTGCTGACTGGGCTTTGTCCTCCCTCTTGTTTCTCTTTCTCTTTCAGCACTGGGAAGAGCAGACGAGGGATCATATTTGTTCTTCCTCTGCCGGCGGTTTGATAGTACACACGAAGACTAGCACCTATGAAGAAAGAAAAAGAAAGAAGGAAAGAGAGAGTGGGGGAGGGAGGGTGGAGGGAGGTTCTAAGCGATTTATGTGTTCTAGCAAAGATCTCGTCATAATGAGGGTTTAGGTTTAATAGAGGCTTATATAGCAAGTCAGGTCTTATAAAATCACAGTCCTTTTAAGTCGGTTTTATTTCATTGGACGCTGTTCACTCCTCTTCCTCCCCTTTCTATAAACCCTTCAAATTAGCCTTCTTGTCTTCAGCACTATCAATCTATCGATCTACACATCTCCGGTAGATTCCCTAGCTAGCTGTGTTTTTGGACAGGATCCATTAACGTCTGAAATATGAATAGAAACATTCCTGATGTTGTCAGTAATGCAGTGAGTCTGTCACGACCGTATGTATATATCATTAGAATGGCGCGCCTCAACCATTTCGTCACACAATGATACAATCCATTTAATCCAAATCTTTAAAAAAATGATTTAAGGAATTTTTGCTGTTGCAGTAATAGGGAATCAATCCAACGGCTTGCAGCTCACTGATTTATAATGTTAGTGGAGCTTGAATGGGGATGAGAGAGGCAAAATAGTAATCGTTCATAACGTAGATAAACTACATGGGGCTCCTGTGCTCTGGAGTGAAACTATGGAAAATCTCAATAGGCTCCAAGCAGCCAGGCAGGTCGATGGACTAGGCTAGAAATACTGCAGTAACACTGGTAGCAGCAGGGTAAATGATGGTAAACCTGACCTTGGTGTTTATCTACTCTGTTGATCATCCACCTTTTGTATCTCCTCAGTCACTGTTACATTTCTAAAAGGTTTGTGATACTTGGATTGGGGCATTGCTGGGACTGGGATGACTTACCATAGTTTGTGTGTTGTGTGCGGTCCTCTCTGTCCTACTCACAGCCTCCAAGCAAGTCCTCAACAGCATGCTACGGGAGCCATCTTTGATTCCAGACCAGGCTTTAGCCAATCACGTCTACCAGGTATTTGAAGTATACATTTATACTGTAGCAGATAACATAAAAGTCCACACTGTAATGTAATGTAATTGTTACTGAAATAGTGAATGTGTATTATTTGTTCTTGTAAATTAATCCATACTGTATCTTTCTCATGATTAATTTCCTGTAGCAAGTCTTGCATGTGTGAGTAAAAATTCAGAAATATTAAACATGATTCCCGACCCTTTTTAACGGGTGTGTTGGCTTCCTTCTTCCTTCCCCCTGCCTGTGCGCTGTAATATTTATTCCCCCTCTTTTCAGTGCACAATAAATGACTGCTGTTATGGACCACTGGTAGACTGCATCAAACAGTATCCTTTCCCATAAAATGTTAAGCCTGAAATTGACGAGGAGCTATTGAAGGGGATGAGATGTGTCTGGCTTCACCTGACATAAAAGTTCTGCTTCAGAGGGGAAGTGTTTCATCCTGCCTGCATCCCGTTGTCCCCATTGCAGGGGGTGGAGGAGCAGGAGGAGAGGAGGCTGCTGATGTAAATGCACCTCCCTTGTTCACAGAGTGAATCAGGCCCAATGTTCTATGCCACAGGAAGGGGGTAGGCATGTGTTATTCACAGCCATTTGTATTTACTTCCTGTGGGTTAAGTGGCTCTTGAAATGTGACAACTCCAATAGAACAAATAGGCCAGTAAGGGGGATACGGTATGTTTCTTTAAGTCAAGAAATTAAGCAAAGTTGGAGTTGTTTTGGGTCCCTGAAAATAATTGTAAGAGTTAGCAGCAATAGAGTACATTGAATGTGGTTTAGGAAAATATGACTTTGTGCCATTAGAAAGGTGTCTTCTACTGCCATTATGCTACATTGACCATTTCCCTGTTTGCCTGTTCACCTGCCTGCTCAGTAAAGAGAGCAGTCCGAGTTATCAGCACCATGGAGAGTTCTTGGCATGTCACTGCCACATGAAATATAGCCCTCCTAGCTACTTCTTTCTCTCTCTCTCGGTTTGTCTTATTCTATCACACTCTCTTGTTCGTTCTCTCTATTTTTCTCACTTACTCATTGTCTCTCCTTCTCCCTCTCTCCCTCCTTCTCTCCCTCCCTCCCTATCAGTGCAGCAGTGCAGGTCCAATGATCAGAGAGTGGGAGATAGGCAGTCATGGGCTGTCAATGCCAGGTCAACACCACCACTACCTCCTCTCTCTTTCCCTCTCTCCCAGATAGGAAGGTGTGGGTTGCGGCAGCAAGAGGGCGCAATGGGGGGTCTATTTGAATATTTAGGGGCAAGCAGCTGGGGACTGCTATGTTTGCGGGGGGCAAGAATCGTGGTGCGGTGTGGAGGGGGCTGGCTCTCTGTTCATGGGCAGTCAACCCTGTCCCATCCTGCCCTCCTTCCTCATCCCCCCCTCTTTACCTTCCTTTCACCCTCCTCCCTCCAGCGTCAACTCACATTCACTCACTCCGCCAAGGCCAGTTCATGATAACTGCCCCACTCCTATGTCCTTTTGGAACGGCTCAATGTGGACATCAGAAGATTGGCTCTGATGCGTGTGCCACTCAGGGTATGCATGTATTAATCGCCAGTGTCTGAGTGATGTGTGTCTGAGTGATGTGTGTGTGTGAGGGGCAGTGTAATGCCTGAAGGAGTTTTAGCATTTTGCCAAAAAGCGAATTATGCATGTATCAGCCCTTCATGAATGCAGAATGCTTTCCACAGTTTATTCTAAAGGCACGTTATTATTTGTTTTTGATCATTTCTTTTTTATGAGCAGTACGGTCCAGAGGCTGTATGCATTTTGCCAAATTGCCATTTGCAAAAAAAATTGTTTTCTCTGAAAAGTTCTGTCTCTTTTGTTTTTGTAATCTACAGATTTGTTGTCAAAGTTGAATTCTGATGAATGGCCTTAAAACCCCTGCTCAGATTATGCTCTGGCTAGTATTGTGATGGGCAGGAGCATATGATATGCATATCCAGCACATAGCTTAGCATGAGAGCTTAGTAGCTGTCTCATCTGATGTCATGTTGATGGGTAACTTCAGTCCCTGTACTAAAACATGCACACACGCACACATACACCCTTACATACTCTTAACTCACGCACACTCTCACGTTGTTGCCACAGCAACCCGTTAAGGGAGGCTTGCCGTTTCCATAGCAACCCATCTCCCAGGTAAAAAAAACAACAACCTTTTGCAGTGGAATTTAATTTGATGGATTTGGAGGGAAACTGTTATTCACTCTCGAATGCAGTTGGACTTATCATTAATGAGTGGTAAATGCTGTGCCATTACAATGTATTTCAGGCTGTGAGGCACAACCAGTATGTGCTTGATTTGATCTAGACTCTAGAGAGACATCAGTGTTTATCCTTTGAAAAGTGAATAAAAGTGACTGAGTGCTGGTGGGTGTATGTCCTTAACCCTTCACCCCTAGTTCTATTGGCCAGGAGGCCGAGGTGCTCCTACGTGACAAACTGAAAGAGAGAAACCTGTCCTTCTTAGGTAAGACTACACCTCTCACACCACAACAGTTAGCTTGCATTCTGTTCTTCTGTTTTTTCACAGGAGGAGAGTTAAAAAAGGAAACGTGGACATGATTGATGTAGTGGGTGTTATCTCCCATTGATTTACTAACAACCTAGAGCTGTGTTATCTAATACCCTGTATGTTTAATTTATGCACTAGCCCAGTATGAATATTTGATTAAAAAAGAGCTTCAAAGATACAGACCTAATGTTTGATCCTCTCAGGTTTCCCCACTCAACATGTTTCATTTAGAACATTTTGCAAAATGGTCAGTTTCTGCCCAGATAGATTTTACACCTCCTCCTGAGTGGGGTGGGGTGGGGGGGGGGGGGGGACATGAGGTAGTATCTGTTCCTTTAATATTAATGCTGTTTAAGTGTTCATCTTCAGTATTGTAGTCTCATTAATAGATTATTCTATTCTTGCTTATACAACACAACCCACATTGCTGAATTAATGTTGAGTAACATGTTTCTGAGTCCGGACGAAAGACTCATATTACATGTATCCAAACAAATGCCCTGGTTTTAATGTTGTATTAGCTTAGTCCGTTTTTAGCCATAATCACACGGTTGACCATAACAATTGGTAATTTCCCCTCAAGCAACGCTAGAGGCTTTTCCATTGTGTTTTCTAGTTTATTGCTGCCTTTCCCTCTCATCCACTATTGTCTTGTCCAGAGAGACTAGGTTAAGGTAGTGAGTGTCCAGGTGTGAAATTGTTAGTTGTTTCCCACATCCACTCCCCTCAATCAGATGAGTGATGAAGAAAAAAAAGTAATTCCCTCTGTCATTAAGATGATATCATTTATTTGGGCCTGTTGTGTTGACCTTCCTCCAGGCCTGCGTGGAGTTCTAAAACTGTCAGAGTTTGGGGGCCTCAGCATGGCGTTAGGGGCCACAGAGACAGCCCTGCCTCACGACACCCAGCCTGATAAATGGATTGGAAATAAGCTCCCCTACAGTGGGGACAGGCCATTCATTTTAACCAAAGGTGATGTTAAAAGGCGATCGGCGCCGCATGACAATATCAACAGCCCTGTAGGTGTTAGGAGAGAGACCACACCACACAGCCCCTCCACCACCACTATGGGCCTTTGGCTCGAGGCTGCCTGCCGCAGACCTTCGCCTCTCCTCTCTCAACCCTCCACGCCGACACCACCCCTCCACTCTCCGCTCGGTCCCCCTTTCAGGCCCATTAGTCGAGCTTGGCTGGAGACGAAGAGGCAGGCCCCCGGAATTGAATGACCTGGTCGGCCTGAGTTTTAAATCAGGTGTTGGGCGGATAATGGTCAAAGCGCGCCAGGAGTCAAGGACAATGGCTGCGGCCCGTGCAGGAAGGGGTCAGGCTCACAGCGGCTATAATGCCAAGTCTCTGTCCCCTTCTTTATGAAGCTCCACCATCCCATCTACTGCTGCTGCTAGTGGATCTGTGGAGAGTGGAGGAACTACCAGGCTTTATACATTTTGTGCAGTGGCAGTACAAGTGTCAGATGTAGCTAATGGTTTCACAGTTTTCTGCTGTCCTCGGCTGTGTCTTGGTGCTTTTGCAACACTGAGCTTTTGTTATCACTGTGCTGTGGTGGTAAAGAAAGGCATCTTGGGTAAAATGTGCTGCTTGGTGTGAAAGACCTACTGGATTTCTGAAGGGTCAATCTAGGGAAGATAGAAACTGAGCCAATGCTTTTGAGTGGATACAACATTATGAATGTTGCACTGTATCACTGCATGTTGTCACCAAATAAGTGTCAGCTTTTCTTTAGGTCTTTCAGGACTATAATATGGGGAAATGTCAAAATGCTAAAATTACTGTGATTTCTGTAGATGAAAACCAACTGCGAAGCAAAGGTTATGACAAGACGCCTGACATTATCCTGGAGGTGCCAATCGGTACGTATTTATTTACACGATAAATGTCAGCGGTTTTATTTCAGTTTCACTTGTAACTGCTATGGTCAGTTAGCTAAAATAGCTAGCCTTTTACAGTTATTTTGGATATGAGTGTCAAGCCTTTGTCTTAACAATACACATTTCCCTTCCATTCTAGTTGATATCACTGAAAAGCTTCAAAGTCTATTTAGAAAGAAAATGTCACATGTCCCCATCCAAATGCTAGTTCTATGGCTTGCTTGATTATATTGTCTGATTTGTAGCTGCCTATATATGATTATACACAAGTTTATACAATCCACTTGTGTTTTTTATTATAGTGGGCGGATAGATACTCTAAAGGACTGTTCTCATTTGGAAACATCTTAGGCCTGAATGTAAATGCTGAGTTAGACCAGGGTAAATGCACAGATCTGACCATCCTAAGTACCTATGAACTTTTGTGTTTTCTTTCAGCTGTGGAAGGCCATATTGTCCACTGGATTGAGAGCAAGGCCTCGTTTGGGGACGACCACAGCCATCGCACCTACCTGAATGAGCAGTTCTGGAGCTACTGGAACCGGTATGTCTTCTCATTACATTTACATTTACGTCATTTAGCAGACGCTCTTATCCAGAGCGACTTACAAATTGGTGCATTCAACTGATGATAGCCAGTGGGACAACCACTTATTTTTTTGTGGGGGGGGGGGGGGGGTAGAAGGATTACTTTTATACTATTCCAGGTATTCCTTAAAGAGGTAGGGTTTCAAGTGTCTCCGGAAGGTGGTCAGTGACTCCGCTTCCATACTGCATCGCAAAACCACCCAAACCTACAGTATACTATGCTTTCAGTACACTTTCTAACATCTCCCAATCAAACCCCCTTTCACATCATTAGACGCTCCCAGTTTTTTTTGTCTTTTGAAGGTAGGTCACGCATAGGTCATATAGTTGTGTGTAAACAACTTCCTTCAAATGCAGGTCATATCCACTCCAAACATCCCCACAGTGTAACATTACACACTTCCTCCCAAAGAGGGCCACTGTATCAACATACGTGTAGTAGGACTATATTACAATACTAGTCACTTCCATCCTGGTCCTGGGGGTCATTGAGAACCTCTCTGGGGCTGGATTGTTTTCCAGAGTACACAACACATTGCTTTGGAAGGGAAACGCGGAAACGGAAGGGTGATTAATCCCTTAGATTCTGTTGTCATGAGAACCCCTGGACAGGAACGAGGAAGGGGGGGCTGGATGGTCCCACGCTGGGGAGGAACAGAGGCGTGCTGCCGGCCTCGTGTAGAGGCCCCTCAGTCAGGACTCAACCACAACACGACATGCATACAGCACAGGGCCTCTTGTCATTGTCTCTGAGTAGTATTCACACTCCAGGCATCTGCCAGGGAGTCTCAGAGAGGGAAGCCAGGCCCACGACGTCTCCCTTGAGGAGTTAACAAAGTTTGTCGTGTTTGAAAACAAACTGTAGCGGGAGGGGAAGTGAGGTATGCTGGCTCACAGCCGTTTGTGAATTCCACTTTCTCAGAAGATAGGTCTTTTTTTTCTCTTCTGTACAGCAAATGTACAAATGGTGATCAAGTAGAAATCCTTAGTCCTTGGGTTGTACTGGTGAAATGATCTATGATGTGACCAGAGCATCATTCACACTGTCGTGGCTCATATAAACCCATATCGTCCCTCTGAGCGCCCAGACCGCCCGCCTGCCTGGCCAGTAGGGGCTTCTCTTACTCACTCACCGTTGTGATGGCTTCCATAGTGCCAGGCGCCATGGAGACCTCACCTTACAGGATTAGTAACCAAGCTACCGACACAGCAACCCAAGTGTGTTTTGTGTCGGGGCATGGCGGAAGCGAATTGAGGGGCGAAAGTGCTCGCGCATGGCCTATCTCTCCTGCCTCAACCATGGCTTCCAAATGCACTGAGCCTGAAAGGTCACCCCCAGCGCTCCTACCGCCCCCATCCTCACGTCTTGGCCACTACAGCCCCAACCCTTGCCCCCCTCAGCTGTGACGGCCCGCTGACACATAGTGATATGACGACCAGTGCCGGAAGGTTCCAGCCTCCACATGCTGTGTCCAGAGACCAGGCAGAGCCAGGCTGTGTGGAGAGGCTGCAGCAGAGAGAACAGCCTAAGTTTGTTTGGTTAACTGATAGTTGTCACTTTGTCAAAAGGTCATAATGGCAAAGTAATATGATGAATCCGTTTGCCAGCAGAGTGATAATGACAGTTATAATTGACAGCAATTTGTCAGTCTCATATGTCACAAATATAATTACTTTGATTATTTTTATGATATTACCGATATTTATATTAAAACGTAAATTTGGAAATTGAGGTGAATGGCATGGAATAGTTTTACAGCGGGAGAGCATTAAGCATGTTTATAGACAATTACTTCCTGATTGACTTAACAGATGCCATCTAACCAAACATCTGCCTTCCAGGGAGGATGATTCAACGATATACTGAGCAGTGAAATGAAAGAGACTAGCAGGATGCCAAGGTCATAATCAACAATGTGTTTTATTTTCTCAGTCTAATATAGTTTTATTTGGAAATGGCATTCTTCCCAAAGTCAGGGGGGAAAGAAATGCTCTGAGCTCTGTGGCATTTGATAATGTTGGCGACCCCAGGAACCCAATGTCACTGGAGTGTGACACTCGAAGGACCATCTTTGATGGCTGCCATTTTTAGTGTGCCTCATTAAAGCCCCTTTAAGAAAGTTGTTGACCAGAAAAAAGTTTGGCCTGGGATCCAGAACATTCCTATACCATGAGGGGATGAATGGCGTTTAATGAGAAAACACTTGAATGAAAACTGTCTCAGTCAATCAAATCTGACATGATATACGAGTCAAAGTTTGAGAGACGGGTCTTTTATTCCCATTAGGTCCTATGATTAGTACCACAGGCAGCACGAGATGGCAGCAATAACATCAGACGATTGAGACTTTGCCTCTGTGCCCAGCCCAAGTCCATGTACTCTAGTCTGTTGTTGTTGTATTGAGAGGACAATAGCACATATCCATCTACCTGCTTCAACAGAAGCTCTTGGTATTAAACTAGAGTTATGGAATACAAACGGATAAACTGATCGGAAGATTGCTTCTGTAAGCCTAAGAACCTAAGATATCTGTCCATTCATGTCTTCATTGGTATTCAGTGCAGTGGCCTTGTCGGGGTACGTTAAGGAACTGACAGTGTAGATCCCATCATGTCAGCCAACGGCCTGGTCAGATAAACGTTGCCGTGTCAAAAAAATGTCAGTTCCTTCAGACCCCACCTTTCCCAGCACCCTTGTAATTTTTAATTGACATTTACTGCTGACATTTTGAATGCGCTCCCTCGTATTGTTAGGCCTGCATCGTAGAGTCTGAGAGGCATGAGCTGCCCCTGCACTTAGTGTGTGTGTGTGTGTCGAGGGAGGAAGGCAATGAATTTGGGGTCACTGCATTGTTTGCAGTCACAACCATGTGAAGCCAGAGAGCGAGAGAGCGAACAAGAGAAGGGGAGCGAGGGAGGGAGAGAGAATGATGGGGTGACATCATCCTCCCTTCTCTTCTCATTAGCAGTATCATTTCATGTGACGGGTCCTGGAGGGCTGAGGGCCTTTGTGTTTGTCCATTCCTTCATTCACCCATTCCTCAAAGACAGGTTCCAGTGGAGCCAGTCCCAGCCCTTTGGTTTCCCTTCTACATGACCTTGGAATACCACCGCCACATTGTGGAATGACTTCACTACTCCTGACTGACGTTTCCAGTGATTTGCTTATTTTTTCATGTATTTCCATTCCTGCCTTTTAACCAAACTCCAGCACACAGGGCTTGCGTTAATTGTTCTTTGTTTGCCCTCCAGCCTTAAAAAGTGAGCAACGGCTGTGTATTTCCTCGAAACAAAAACACGACATAACTAATTTTCCCTCCAAAGCCCTCACCAACAGCATTCATCATCCAAACAATAGTCTTGCCAACACTCTAACCTCATAATAAACCCCTCTTCAGCGGAGTGAGGGGTAATGACGCTGAGCCTCGCTATGAGGCTCCGCGAGACGGACGAAGGAAGAAACTGCCTGGGAATAAAAAAGCACTGGCGTGTTCAGGCCCAGTGCCTGGATGAGATGGCACGGCATCGCCACGGCAGCCATTGGTCTCCTCTACCCATCAATCTTTTGCTGCTGGCGTTCCAGACTCCGAGCCAGGCAGAGAGAGAGACAGAGGCAGCCTACTGAATGGACAAATAATTGAGTTATCCATCTCCCCAAACTATCAGAGTTGCATAAAAATTATTCACCTGCTATTGAATATTTCACAAATAATGAGCCTCTTGTGTGTTTTAGGAGAAGTGGGTAAGGTTTCCCAAGGAACTGCCCCCGTCGTCCCTCGATGAAACTTTAAATCAATTGTTGGCAAAGGTACCCTAATAAATACTGGGTGGTGGTGATAACAGGAGTGGAGATGTCAATGTGTTTGTTCTAGACGTATAGTCATTTATTATGCAGACGTTGGTTGGCAATTAGCCTTTGTTTGTGTATCTGAATGTGCTCTGGCGGTTTGTCATGATTTACATTGCTGTATGATACGGGTTGTCATGATTTTGTTTGACTCATTGATTTAGGCCTGTGCCCTCTTGTTGGGTGTCTTCTGAATGAATGTTGTGTGTATCATGTCTTTGAGAGGGGACTGGGATGAGTGGTGAATGTGAGTCTGGGTTGCCAGAGTCCCTCTACTCTGATCTGGCCATTGGTGTTACTTAAAAGCAGCATTTCTGACAGGGGGATACACTGTACTGATACACGTTCTCCCTCCATCTATCTGACGCTTGATGTCCAGCTATTCTTTAGGCCTATCTGTTTAATGACCACAATGAAATCATGGTCGCCAAGTTCACATTTTTTTGAATCATTTCCCAAATACTTGAGTAAATCATAATGTAGCCTAGGTTGTACCAACATATCTCACTTTATCTCTAAATGATAATGCATCAGCTAAACAAAACCAAAAATGCCATTTTCCAAAACATAAGCCTTTTTCAGTCATTTTGATATGATATTGGTACAGATTAAAAGGGCAAGTGTAGAGCTAAATAATTAGATTCCGGCTCTCTCCCCCCCCCCCCCCCCCCCCCCCCCTCCCCCCCCCACCACTCCATCCTTCGCGCCACACCATACAGGACGATGAACGGCCTTTGTGGAAATGTGCGTGATCGGCGGCCCACTCTCTCGCCTCTACCCAAAGTTAATCAGCTGTGCAATTCGTAAACTGCAAATGTGTCAAGAGTTGAAAATGTTAGAGCTCCTAATGGAGGCTTGAAAAGGTTAGATCTGATAAAAAGCTGTCAGACGTCCACAAAAATGATTTATGGCATTATAATGGGACAATATGGCTCATTTCTCCCTCATATGAAATGGGGGTTAAGACTTTTGGGTTTGCCATATACATCATCGCGTTGACCACTTGGATGTTGTTGACGTAGATGAACACACTCTCTCACAGTAATGTTTTCTTCCTCCCTCTTTGTTCTAATGATTTGCTACTGTATCATATTATGATAGTGTTATTGCTGTAACATGTCTACACATTACGCATAGTTTCAACATTTTCAAAGTACATGTCAATGCTCATTATTAAAGATGCACTATGCAGAAATGTCTCCACCATTTCATGGTTGCTAAAATTCTAATAGTTCACCTAATTTCAGTTTGTGACAAAACTAGCAAGTATAGTGTAGAGAATCATTGGACCATCTAAACCACTGTGAAATATATTTTCAATAACCACAAATATTGTATTTTCAGCTGTTTGAAGCTGGTGTACAAAACCGAAAGTAAAAGATCAAAAACAAAACTTAAAAATGGGAAGCATAGAAATAGCGCATATTGAACAGATCTATCTCTTCTTATATTTGCTTTCACTGTGAATGACAGATCTTTCCCCCATAAATGAACAGAATGTGGTAAATCTGCTTTGTGACACCTTGACTAACGAACAGATAGAGAGCTGTTTTATGTTATATTTTATATTAGTTGACACAGCTGCAATCGGACATCTTGATTAATTTCAGATCTTTTTCCAATTATTTCAGACACTACTGTGTGCTGTGGTTTTTACAGCAGAAATTGCATGATAATTCTGTTATAGTCTTAGCCTGGTCAATCTGATAGCCCTGACGTCAAATGTAAGATTTTGATGTAAGATACTGCTATAATGTATTCATTTTTAATGGATATGTCCATCATTTTGTGGTACATCCTAAAGCAGCAAGGCCAGGAATGTCTAATTAATAAATTGTAATGACTTGCTCTCTTGTGGACAAGCCTTGTTGCGTTCAGCTGATTATGTATGTCTCTATAGGAAGGTGTTATGGTTGGACACTGTATGAGATACAGGATAAGGTGTGTTTGGTTTGGCGAGTATCCTTTGTACATTTGTGTGTACAATACACAGTGTACCGTGTGAGTGTGTACGTGTGTGTAATGCTGTTGTGTATGGTGCACAATTGTGTGTGTGTGTGTGTGTAGGCAGGTTATGGGTAAATGGGAGTGTGCTTTTGGCCCAGTGGCAGAAGCAAAACTGGGCCATCATAGACCCAGAGCAGATAGAGGATGTCACCTGTGAGTGGGGGCCGCAGCCACAGCAGCCAGCGCTGATCCGATGAGGCCAGACATTACAGGGCTGTCCTCAGGGACAGGCCCCCCGCGCCTCTGGGGTGACAGTGTGACAGGGACAAGACCTGTGTCGTGCCACACCGCACCTCGCCACCTCACCTCGCCACGAGAGACGTACATAGAGGACAATAGGCACCGTTGGGCCATTCTAAGACTGTGGCGATAGTGCTGGTGATTCACAGAGGTCCAGGGGATGAAATGCATCGTTACCTCAGAACTGAGAGAGTGTACAATCGTGGTCAAAAGTTTTGAGAATGACACAAGTATTGGTCTTCACAAAGTTTGCTGCTTCAGTGTTATGAGATATTTTTGTCAGATGTTACTATGGTATACTGAAGTATAATTACAAGCATTCCATAAGTGTCAAAGGCTTTTATTGCCAATTACATTTAAGTTTATGCAAAAAGTCAATATTTGCAGTGTTGACCCTTCTTTTTCAAGACCTCTGCAATCCACCCTGGCATGCTGTCAATTAACTTCTGGGCCACATTCTGACTGATGGCAGCCCATTCTTGCATAATCAATGCTTGGAGTTTGTCAGAATTTGTGGGGTTTTGTTTGTCCACCCGCCTCTTGAGGATCGACCACAAGTTCTCAATGGGATTAAGGTCTGGGGAGTTTCCTGGCCATGGACCCAAAATGTCAATGTTTTGTTCCCCGAGCCACTTAGTTATCACTTTTGCCTTATGGCAAGGTGCCCCATCATGCTGGAAAAGGCATTGGTCGTCACCAAACTGTTCTTGGATGGTTGGGAGAAGTTGCTCTCGGAGGATGTGTTGGTACCATTCTTTATTCATGACTGTGTTCTTAGGCAAAATTGTGAGTGAGCCCACTCCCTTGGCTGAGAAGCAACCCCACACATGAATGGTCTCAGGATGCTTTTCTATTGGCATGACACAGATCTGATGGTAGCGCTCACCTTGTCTTCTCCGGACAAGGTGTTTTCCGGATGCCCCAAACAATCGGAAAGGGGATTCATCAGAGAAAATGACTTTACCCCAGTCCTCAGCAGTCCAATCCCTGTACCTTTTGCAGAATATCAGTCTGTCCATGATGTTTTTCCTGGAGAGAAGTGGCTTCTTTGCTGCCCTTCTTGACACCAGGCCATCCTCCAAAAGTCTTCGGCTCACTGTGCGTGCAGATGCACTCACACCTGCCTGCTGCCATTCCTGAGCAAGCTCTGCACTGGTGGTGCCCCGATCCCGCAGCTGAATCAACTTTAGGAGACGTCCTGGCGCTTGCTGGACTTTCTTGGGCGCCCTGACGCCTTCTTCACAACAATTGAACCTCTCTCCTTGAAGTTCTTGATGATCCGATAAATGGTTGAATTAGGTGCAATCTTACTAGCAGCAAATATCCTTGCTTGTGAAGCCCTTTTTGTGCAAAGCAATGATGACGGCACGTGTTTCCTTGCAGGTAACCATGGTTAACAGAGGAAGAACAATGATTTCAAGCACCACCCTCCTTTTAAAGCTTCCAGTCTGTTATTCTAACTCAATCAGCATGACAGAGTGATCTCCAGCCTTGTCCTCGTCAACACTCTCACCTGGTCCTTTTGTGGCAGGGCTGAAATGCAGTGGAAAGTTTTTTTGGGATTAAGTTCATTTTCATGGCAAAGAGGGACTTTGCAATTAATTGCAACTCATCTGATCACTCTTCATGACATTCTCTGTATATGCAAATTGCCATCATCAAAACTGAGGCAGCAGACTTTGTGAAAATGATTATTTGTGTCATTCTCAAAACTTTTGACCACGACCTGTAGAGTGGTTCGTTTCTGACAAGGCCTCCTGTAGTTTTCAGCGATGACAGGCCTACGTTAGGAGGACACACTGAAGTGATTGTGTTACTTCTTTAAGGACAATGTTTATACAAAGACCAGGTGTGGATGAGGTAATTTGACCCATTCACTGTGAAAGTGTTGACAAGCTTTTCTGGGTAGAAGTGTCCGTACTCCTCCTGACATTGTCTTATCCTCCCATTCATAATGTTGTGGATACCCCATGTGGAGTTGGAACGTGCTCCATTTTATTGTT